GCACCTGTGAAGGGCAAATGTTTAGGGTAAAATTACCCTAGATACGTGGCCCAATGGGCTGGTGACACGAGGCGCATCGCCATTAGTCGACAGGGCTCCCCTGTTGACACGTGTCCTTGGTACCCTCCATGGGGAACTTGTCTGCCCTACTATAAATAGTGGGGCAAACCCCATTAATGGGGCATTCATTCACTCATAAATACAAACACTATTACCGAGCAATATTAATTGCGGAATTCTCCCAATCAGCGAGAAGCTTTTCACCTATTTCGTATTCTTTCCTCCTGTGCGTATACTAACTTGATCGTCGGAGGCGAAGCTCCTACCAACCGGAGTCTTCGTGATCTTGCAGGTATAGGCATCCGACAGCTCAGTCTTGGAGTCGTAACTCTCCCGCAGGACACATCAAAAAACCCCGAAACAATTATTATTGTTTATTTTTATAAGGCACCAACTATCAATTTAATTAGACACTTCTATTCCTATTTCTAATATTGTTGTAAATTATTTTATGTAACTATATTTATTTTGTTTGAAATTTTTTGGGTCCGTAAAGTGTACATTACTTAAATTTTAATTGTTTTTCTTAATAGTTATCAAAGTACTGTACATTTATTCTCTTTTGATATATAACATGGTTATCAAATTGGCATTTTTGTTTTGCTTTTATCCATTGCATTGTTCATATTTTGGATCTTAGATAGATTGTGTATATAAGTACGTCTTTGCCATATACCAAGATGTGGAATTTCTGCACAACAACTCACTCCATTTTCATCTACAAAACATCTACATAAATCTAGGTACCAAATTGTAGTGCATTCGCACTTCTCTTCGTTCTAAAGTTCAGCTAGATCATCACACAGTAAGGTCGTATTATTAAACTCGTATTGTATAAAATTTAATACACATACTTATTGTAGGGATTTAGCAATTGTTATTTTTAGATGGCCTTAATATATGATTTTTATATTAAAAAAAAAAATTGTAATGATATACTGATGATTATTATAAGTATAAACAAAAGATAAACCTATTTTAGTAACAAATATATAAACATTTTATCTTGTAAATTCGAATATGTGGAAATTGAGATTAGAAAATAAAATAAAATAATAATAATAATTAGATAAAACTTAAGTGTAAAAAAAATTCGCTTTTGTCACAGATATAGTGGCATTAACGTGCCGTTAAGAACATTATTTTCAAGTACATACCGAAGGAAGTTATAACTTTTTAATGCATGAATATTAGTTTTTAAACTAATAGGATAAAATAATCAATTAAGTGGCAATAGGGATGCATGCATCTAATCAAGTAATTAATCCGAATGACGCCTAAAGTTACTCATCATTGTGGACCAAGATTAAGCAATATGAATAGTTTATATTATATTTTTTAATACTAATATGAGTAGCTTATATTTTCGTTTACATATTTTAATTAATTTTATGTTATACATTCTGATTTGTATAGGATCTTTGTGCATTGAAGGTTATTACCACAAAAAATTATTTCAGTGAAGTTTTTGCAGATTAAGTTCTTTAAGGTAAGTTTTTAAATAATTTTTTTCTGTTGATAATATGATTATTTTATTTAATATTATACCTATGGATATTTTTTTTTTGGTTGGATAGTTGTTACCTATTATTATGGTTATATATATTAAATATTGGCTGCTTGTTTCTTAGTAGTGATATATAATCTTTAATTGTAATTTGTGTTATCTATTTTGAAATAGAAATTTTATGACTATTGATTACATCTCTTTCCCTTAATGTTTATTCACATAACAATAGAAAGTTAATAAACTTATAGAATATAATTAAAGAACAAAAGGTTCCCAAAAAAAAAGAAAAGAAAAGAAAATTATTAAAGGACAAAATGACGCATGTATAATTGAAATTAGTAAAACATTGGATATCTTTGCACATGCCAATCACTTTCACCTAACAATTTTGTAGGTAAAAATGCAACAAAGGATATACTTGACATTGAAATTAAAGTTAAACTAAGAGAATTTATGGTGGCAAAAAAAAGAGGAAAACAGATGAAAAAATAGCAAAAATTAGTACATTTACAAGACAACCAACACGAGAATGCAGAGTTACAAGAAAAAGTGAAAAAAAATTGATTAATTGTTCCACAAATAGCAAAAGGCTAGCAATATGGAATTAAAATATAAAATAAAAATAATTTTATTATTCTTCTTTAAAAATTGACTTTACATCAACACCTTAATGATTGTAAATCATTAGATCAATAATTATAATAAATATACTAAAGTATATAAATACTTATAATTTTAGATTTGCATTAAAAATAATATTGCATGTATTTAACAAAATTGAAAAATAAAATAAAATGTGACCAACAATAAAGATTACCTGAGTCGGCATTACCAAAGCTACCAAGCTGAAATGACACCTTTTTACCAACCAATTCATCAAATCTATCAAGAATTGATGCATTAAAATCCAACACATTCTTCTTCGTCAATATTGCTCTTACATTTCTTTGCGTTACTACAACTTTCTGAAATTGCATCTAAAATATTATAAAACATATCTTGGCTTAAACTTTTACTATGTTGGAATATGGGTACTTTTATTTTTTAGGTGCATTTGTATATAGAAATGGTAATTTTATAAATATGATTGTTTGAATGCTTTTGGAAAAGTTGTGGGTTTTTCAAACGAAAGAAATTTTTTTAAAAAAAAATAAAAGGTTTTTTTATAAAGGACAAAGTAGGTGCCTAAATTGACAGGACAATGAAAAACAGGAAAGAGAAAGATCACTAGAGTTTTATAGATTAAAGTTGCTGCATGCAACTATGAAAAGTACTTTGACTAATGGGATTAGGAGAATAGAAATGAATACAACTACAAATAGCTATAATCTATATTAATAAAATAAAAATAAAAATAAAAATTGCTGATGCATGATGCACCATTACTGAGAATAGAAACGAATACTTGATTAATCATTTACTTCCTGATTAATGAAGAACTTTTCAATTTTAGTGATAGGTTTATGAAAGAAGAGCCCACGGTAAATTAAAATATAAATTTTAATTTATTCCACAACTATATTATAAATAAAATATGTATACTCGTATACAATAAGTTTCCCAATTTTCTGTAGTTCAACTAAGGGAAGTAATAAATTGATAACTTATATGAAAAATTCAACTAGGAAACTATAGATTTTATAGAGAAGTTACACGTACTATACTACCAAAACAAATACTTACAAACTTATTAACTATGAATTTTCATCTCACCAATTTGCAAACTATAGATTCTGGCATTGTATAATGAGTATTGTATATTAGGAATAAAATAAAATGTCAAGTAATAGGTAAGAAATATAAAAAAAAAAAAATAAGAGAATGGAAAGAAAAATTTTGAATTGAAAAGAATACTTTTTCATTCTTAAATATAAAAATGAGTCGGAAAAGATAAATTATATGAAAATAAAAATTAAAATAAAAAAAGTACGAATGAAGGTTGAGCATAATTTTAGTAGTTATATAATCTTTGTTCCTATATTAACAACATGATTCTTGTTCACTTGTTTGCAATTTGACATCTTATGTCAACGTTTTCTCTTTCAAGTGTGTCATTTCTTAGGCTAGAATGGTGGCAAAAGACAAAACTCTATTGGGACCTTTTGCTGATTTTTTTTCTTTTCAAATAAATAAAGAAAAAATTTGAATAATTCAATTTACAAAAGGGCCAACAATCAAGGTTAAACATAATTTATATGAATAATTAAAGTGTATATATATATATATATATATATATATACTGAGCTAGGTCTATTGAATTTTTTTAGGATATTTTTTGGAATTATACGGGCCTACATCTATGCCCCTTTTACATATACTTTACAAGTAATAACGGTATTAGTAGACAATTTGAAGGCCATTATTTTGTTTTTTTATTTGTTAGTACTTTTTTTAAAATAACAACGGAATGTCCATACTTTGTACGGAAATTTGTTCTTTTATGTGGAATATTTTGTGATTCTCAAATTTTTGCTATGTATTGTGAATTAGAGTATTCATTATTTTTTTATGTATAGTATTGTTAACTGTTATTTTAAATTTATTTAATTTTCTTTTAGTTTTTTTTTTGTAACATATCAAAAATTTCATAGACATACCAATCTTCAAAGCCTACTAATTTACTTATCTACTGCCAAAATATGGTACAATAAAAATTTACATATACAAACAAAAATTGCACAGCCCGAAAAATATATCATATACGTTTACAATCAAAATAAAAATCATAACGCATAATCAAGATGTACATAATCCACACCAAAAAAAAATACGGTTTATGTATATTAATATGATTAGATATTGTAAAAGCCACTAATAATGTAGACTCATAAAAAAGTTACTTTCTAACCATTATTTTAGGAATGTATCATTCAATAAACAAACAAAATATTTAAATAATATCAAAGAAATTAACTTAAACGCAAATACTTTAAAGAAATTAATATAAATGCTAATACATCTTTAGATTATTGTAATACCATCTTTTACAACTGAATTAGTTTTTTGTCTACCTAATTAAATTAGATCTGTTTAATGTCTTATACATGGTAAACTACTTGTATTGAATAGGCTACACAAATAAAAATGATCGTGAACCATTGCATATCAATGATTAATTTATTTATTTTATTCTCAAGTATTGCTTTTGTTTTACCTTTTTTCCTATTATTTAAAAATACTACAGTTGTCAAATACAATCGGAACAAACAATATAAAAAGACCTCCGAAACGTGCATATGTTCTTCCTATGTCGACGCTTTGTGAGCATTGTGGAGCAAAACTATTTAAAGATGAGTCAATTAACCTATGTTGCAACCAAGGGGAGATCTGACTTGCTCCTAACTATATGCCAGACATTTTTTGTAACCTATTTCTGTCGTTGGATAGCAGTTTCGAAAGTTTTCGTAAATATATTATTCTGTACAACAATATGTTTTCGTTTACATCTTTGGGTGTGAAGAAGGATAAAGAATTAGCGCAAAGACATCATGGTATTTACACATTTAGAGTTCAAGGGCAAGTTTATCATTACGTAAATGATATACATCGAAATGATGAGAAACCACGATATCTGCTGCTATATCTCTATGACACGGATGTTGAGTACCGACATCGTGTATCAATTTTTAAGAATCTTGATCCACGTGTTATTGGCCAATTAGTGCGATTAATGGAGCTAAATCCGTATGTTCAATTTTTTCGGTCACTTAAAGACGTTAATATAGTTGATACAAGTCTCATTATAATCCGATCTAACCTAGGTGAAGATCAACATACTCACAATGCACCTACTTCTTCTCAAGTGGTAGCAATCTGGTTGGAAGATGCAGGCACATCTGGTCCATTGCAGCGCAATATTGTAGTTCGCGCACATTCAGGTGTAAACCATTGTATACAACATTACTATGGATGCTATGATCCATTACGATATCCTATTTTATTTCCTTACTGCCAAACTGGTTGGCATAGACAGATATATAGATTTAAAACAAAGCATCAAAAAAGACAGGAATGCCATACGTTTCCGATTAATGAAGTTCTTGTCCAAACTGTTGACGATCTTCTAGAAGTTGAAGAACAAGGTTTGCCTATTAAATAATTTATCAGGAAAAAATTACATTTTAATCAACAAAAATAACATCACGTATTTTTTACCTTTTTTTTATATAGGTTTTCACTCATCAGCGTCTGAAAAAAAAAAGTTTCGTGCAGAGAGTATTATTGCTACCGATTACAGATCCGTATACGAGATTATTCCTTTCTTCTGCGATGTGGTCGCTTACTACAACAATACATTGTTGATATGTACATCAAAATCGAAACTTCGCGTCTAGATTTTATTCGTCGTAACCAAGATACAATCACAGCTGAACTTTACCAAGGCATTCTCGACAGCTTGAACACAAGTGTATTGCACGGGTCAAATATCGAGCGTGGATTTATTCTCCCTCCTTCATTTATTGGTGGTCCACGAGATATGAGGCGCAGATACCTTGATGCGATGGCTTTAGTTCAACACTATGGAAAACCTGATATTTTCTTACCCATGACCTGCAACCCTTCATGGCCTGAAATTACAGACGAATTGCTTCCCCACAAAGAAGGGCAAAACAGACCTGATCTAATTGCGCTAGTTTTCCATGCGAAATTAACTGAATTGAAAAAAGATATTGTCCAAAAGAAACTGTTTGGCGAGGTAGCAACATATGTTTACGTAATTGGATTCCAAAAAGAGGAATTACCACCACACACTTTCTCATCATTTTAGATCCAGCATCTAAGATTAGAACTTCAGACCAATATGATGAGCATGTCTACGCAAAAATACCTGAACAAAAAACTAACCCTCATCTTCATGAAGCTGTCTTAAAGCATATGATGCATGACCCTTGTGGAAATGATAACCTAGGAAACGTATGCATGCGAGATGGAAAGTGTAAAAACCATTACCCTCGAAGCTTTTCTGAGACGACATCGACAGGTCATAATTCATACCCTAATATCGACGTCGTAATGATGGAAAAAAAATATATGGTACATAGAGTACAACTTGATAATATACCATATAATCCATATTTACTTGCAAAATATGATTGTCATATAAACGTAGAAGTGTGTTCTACAATAAAAGAAGTTAAATATCTGTATAAGTATATATACAAAGGTCAAGATCGGGTTGTTTTCTCTTTATCTAACCCAAACGACATAAGCATAGGTGATGAGATCTCTTCATTTCAAACAGCACGATGGATATCACCCCTAGAAGCTGCTTGGCGTATTTTTAGATTTCCTATAAATAGTATACACCAAAACATTTTCTTTGCAAGTACATTTGCCAAATATGCAAACTGTGACATTTCGTGCACAAGAAAAGTTACAAATTGTTGCATCTGACTCATACAGACAACGAACTATGCTAACTGCTTTTTTTTAGATGAACCAAGTTGATTCCTTTGCTCGCACATTACTGTGCCAAGAATTTCCTCAACATTATAAAATGGCATGCAAAAAAAAGTGAAAAATTTTGGCGACGTCGTCGATCAGCAACTGCTGCGATCGGACGTGTGGTACATGCGAATCTATCAGAAGGTGAACGCTTTTATTTGTGGTTATTGCTCACAATTGTTTGTGGTCCAATCTCTTTTGATTATTTTTTGACCTTCAACAGTATAAAATATTCTTCATTTCAAGAAGCAGCATTTCAGCGAGGTCTACTCGAAGCAGACGATTCTATAGACAAGTGCCTACAAGAAGCTTCCCAAAGTCAGATGCCTTTTTCCTTACGACGCCTATTTGCTACATTATTAGTATACTACAATCCTGATGATCCAAACTTTCTGTGGGAAAAATATTGCCCATATCTTTCTGAAGATTACAGTCATAACTTCCCTTCGAACAAAAAAAAAAGGCTCGCAAATTGATAAAAAGCATTTGTTACCTTGTTGAATCAATGGGAAAGTCTATCGACACTTATAATTTTGGATTGTTAGAGCTTGAATAAGATGACTTAGAGAAAGGAACGTACGTCCAGAAGAAATAATGCAGTTGATTTACTTAATAATGAACAGAAAATTGCATACAATACAATTTATAACAAAGTCCTTGATAATAAGCCGGCTGCTTTCTTTGTTGATGGCCCTGGTGGTACAAGAAAGACTTTTTATATTCTACATTACTTGCTAATATAAGAGCAAAAAGAATGATTGCTTTAGCAGTTGCGAGTTCTGGCATTGCCGCATCTGGTCCGTCTGGAGGTAGAACTGAAAATTCTCGATTCAAATACCTTTAGATGTTTATGAGATTCCAAGTCCAAGTATTTCCAAACAAAGTGCTCTAGGACAGCTTATTTGTCTTACAAGACTTATTATATGGGATGAGGCGCTAATGTCAAAGCATCAAACAATTGAATACTTTGGCAGATTGCTACAAGACATCTGTTCAAACAAACTTAAATTTGGTGGAAAAATTGTATTTGGTGGTGACTTCCGACAAGTACTGTTTCGGGGTTTTCTGATGTCCTGCGGGAGAGTTACAATTCCGAGACTGAAACCGGACGCCTGTACCTGCAAAACAAACGGATGCTCCGGATGATTGGAGATCCGCCTCCGACGGTCAAGTTAGTACTTGATTAAGGAGTAATTAATGCTGAAATTAAAGTGATTGGGTTTCTCTAGGTGAGAGTGTTTAATGTGTGTAATCTGCGTCATCTCCCTTAATGAGGATTAAGGGAGGTATTTATAACCTCGGGAAACGTGCCAATCTAGGTTTAGGTTAACCTTGGGCTGATTGGGCTTCCCTCGAAAGTTGGGCCTAGGTGACCGGCTTCTCCATTAGGCATGGAGTATGCCACGTGTCATGACATAATAAGTCCAGGGTGGACGAATAAGCGTGTGCCACGTGGCAAGCCCTGAGAGGTTCAACTGGGGGACACTTGGCAGGACCTGATTGGCCCACGTGGCGCATTCCGATTGGTGGGAGCAAAATACCCTAATCATTTGCCCCTCACATGTGGCACGTGACTGGTCACGTGTTACCTGTGACAGGTGTCGCCCTGTAACTAGAGACGGCCTGCTACAGGTGTCACTCGGCGAGAGGCCGAGAGATTCTCCCGCCAAAATTTTGAATTCTGGAAGTGACCCTTCGCCTTCTCACTTTGCCTATATAAAGGAGTGTTGACTTCGGTCATTTTCACACTTGAAAACTTTGTGAGAGAACATTCGGACCCCTGAACTTGCTCTGACATTTTGGACCCTTTCTGCCTACCGCCTGCTCTGACAAGCCGACTGCAAAGGATTTTCAGAACTTCATCAATCGTCACTCGTTCAGGTAACCGTCGGTTCTCTTACTCTTAATTTTCTCTTTACTTTATTCTTTTTTGAAATGGCACCACGGAAGCACACAACACGACCTAGGTTAGTGATCAGCCGGTCACCGGGGACGGCTGAATCTAGGACTAGGAGTGTCGCCTGCCCTTTTCTGGACCCATCTTTGCCCTTTATACAAAGTCCGGCTGTATCTGTGTCTATGCAGAGCATGATGGCCAGAACAAAAAAGACTGCCAGGATCTCAAACTCAGACGGCTCCTCCCACAGGGTGCCGATTAGTGAAACATCTGACCAGGCGCCAGATGTGAAAGTGAAACAAAGCGGCTTGAAAGCCGGCAGTTCTGAGGGAGGAGTCAAAGTGACCCCTTCCCATTTTACAGTTGACAATTCTACATTCTCTCCTGCTCCTTTGAAAGGAGAGGAGGCGGGCCCCTCCTGGAGAGGAGAGGAGTCGTCCTCTTCGGACTCGTCAGAGGACGAATCCGAGTCTAGCTCTTCTGGCCATGCTTCTCTGGACACAGAAGAGAAAAACAGTCGCCTACAAGAGGCGAGGCTTTCTCACGCAGTTGAGAAGGGGGACGATTGGGCGGAGCCATCCGCCTCTCACCGAGAGCAAAATACCCCCTACTACTGCACGGTACCTCGGGGCCGGATCACGGCCATGCAAGAGAAAGTGGGGAGCTTTATCGCAAACCACACAATGGGCCCCGGCTTTTTAGTGTTCGTGCCGGATCCAGAGGACACAGTCGTCTGGCCGGCTGGTACCAGTTATGATGGCGACTGCTTTGGCTGCTACGAGGCGGCCATTAAGGCTGGCCTGCGCTTCCCACTACATCCGGCTGTTCAGCGGATCTTGGATGGGTATGAGTTGGGGTTATGGCAGTTAGCCCCGAACTCCTGGGTCAACGTACTCGGCTATGTGACCGGGTGCGAACTGCACGGGGTGGAGCCGAACTTCGAGGCTTTCGCCCACATGAACTACCTCAGTCGGACCCCTAAGGCAGGCGGTACCGGCTGGTATCAATTGACGAGCCACAGGGGCTACCTCATGACGAGAGGTAAAGAAAACAAATGGAAGGACTGGCGGAGCACCTTCCTTATCATTGAGAGTTCAGACACAGAGCTGAACAAGCGCTTCAACAGGTGGAACAGGAATCCGCCCCTTCTTGCAGGTGGCCGCAGCATGCCGCCTGTTCCCCCCAAGGCTAAGAAAGAGATCCTAGATAAAGGACTCTTCAAAGTAGAGTCGAAGGTGAACTCTACTTCAGGGGTACGAGAGCAAGTACCCCTGCACTGCGTCCCGAGCTTCAAATGGCTCTACGACGAGTACTTTTTGGCCTTTTGTGGCCTCAGCAGTCGGTGCTCAAGAGGTAGCCGGCCTGTCGAATACTCTGTTGTTCCGTGCATTTCTTGTTATGACTTTTATTAACTTTGCTATTTGTTTTTGCAGCGGACGCCATGAGCAAAATTACCGCCTCCAAGACTGCGGCGGCCATGTTGCGGGCCTCCATCATGCAACAGTCTTCAACCGACTCCCCCAACAAGGGGGCACCCTTGGTGGGCTTCGAACCTTTCACCCTCTTTTTGGAGTTGTGTTTATGCATATACTGACTCTTTTCTTCTTTTTTAGACGGGCGCTCCAAGAGCTTCTTCTTCCCAACAGCCGGACCCCAAGGCCCGGAGGACGACTGTTGCGAGCTCTCCTGGTTCTGCCAGGAAACATGCGGCGGTTGAGAAACAGCCGGCCACTTCTTCTAAAAATCCAGCTGGGCCACCTAGAAGTATGAAATTGTCCTTGTAAATTTTAGACTTGCTCCCTCCTTTACTAGGTCTAATCCGTTTTTTTATGCTTGATGCAGCCGGCCCTCAGGAGCCTGACTTGGTCAAAGTGGCCAAGTCTATGATCAAGGTCGTACCTCCAGCTGAAAGGGAGGCGGTCAGGGGTGTCGGCACCCTTGACCTAGACGGGATTGCAGGGGTCCTTGCTGAGGTATACTTAGCATATTTTTGAGTATTTGAATTCCAGGACGCCTGTTTTCTTTTTTGTTTGGAAACTGACGCCTGTTCCCCTTTTTACTTAGGCCCTGCTCCGAGTGAACGGCCTTCGCAAGCCGCTTGACCGGAAGAACAAAGAGGTAAAGGCTGCAAAAGCTATGGCTGCCTCTGACTGTGATAAGGCAATGTTTCAAATTGCCCAAAATGAAGTTCTGACAATTGATATTCTTTATTATCAAGCGCAGGCTACCGCCGCTATCCGGGCTCAGTTAGAGGCGGCCCAGAAGAGGAATAGCGAGCTGGAGGCGACCATCAACAACCTCAAGACCGAGCTGAGACCTCTTCGCCAAAAGATTTCCTCATACGAAACCTTGGAGAAATCCTTGGCGAGCGTAAAGGAACACCTGGTGACCCAGGAGAAGAGTCTTACTCAGGAGCTCTCGGAAAA